CGGCGGGCTCGCCGCTTGCGGCGGCCGCGCAGCTCGCGCGGTGGAAGAGGGGAGCTAAGCTAGTCGAGGCGAAGGGGTCGCAAGCCTGGAATTCCTCGGCCCGCGCCACAGTGACAAGCTCAAGGAGTCGCTGTAGTTTCAGAGGCGTGTGGACGTCACGCAGGATGAGCCATTTAGGTACGACAGCAAATGGGGCAGCGTCGATCCTTCGTGCCATTGGCCGGGCAGAGGGAGTTTCTAAAGTGTGGTCTAAGTAGCCATATTGCCCCAGAAAGCCACCTGTCAACGAAGTCAGTTTTGGTAGTGGCGTCCCTTAGCCATTCCTAAAGTCGAGTCGCCATGGTTGTGTCGATTGAGCTGGCGTCCAGCGGCGGCTGCGCCTGTCGCCATCCACCGCGTTCGTGAAGTCTTTCGGCAATGTGCAGGCGTTCTAGCAGAACTGAAACTTTGACGGCTAGGTCAGGGTCTCGCCACTGGTTCATTCTGCCGATGTCCTCCTGCGTTGCCCCCTTCTTGTCCCGTCGACATCTGCTCCTCCCGCGGTTGTCTGTTAGTGAGTCTTGCCATCCTGGACGCAGCTTGAATGGCCTCGGGGCTTCTGTCTGCGTCTCCGTTGAAGACTGAGTACTGCAGATTTCCTTGGGCGTCAAGTTGTTGCACCATCAACTTTCGTAGCGCGCGGTCAATGCGCGTCTGGCCGTGGCGCGGGGGTGGGCCATCCTGTTTCGGCTCGGCGTTCCGTGACGATTCCCTCCATCTTGGCGCGAGCAGGCTCGATAGTGTCAGCCGGCGCCTCTCTCCAGTAGGCTTCCGCTGCGTTGATTGCTCTGCTGTCGAGTTGGTGGCGCCCAAACACATCGAGCAAGCGCGCGCGTCCAGCTTCAGTCGCAGCACACCAGATGAAGTGACAAGAACGGTATCCCACTTGTACATGCTGGGGAGGGTGGATGAGGCAATGCGCTCGCGTAGTTCCTGTATTTCGGATTCGAAATCCTGGAGGCGCGTCCTTTCCTCACGTCCCATGAGCATGTCGGTGATTGCCTGCATGGGTGGAGCTGCGCTTTGAGCTGCCTCTGTGATTCCCATGGCGGTGTCGACGCGTGCGTTGCCCTGTGCAGTCGGCGTGGCCGTGCTCCTCCAGTGCCGAACGATGGCGCGCTCAATATACCTCCCGATGGGTTCGTCGTCGTTGAGTAGGAGCGCAAGGTTGTGATGCTCGCCGAGCGCTAGAGTGGCGCATCCAACCAGTTCCTGAGTGGCGAATGCCCGCTCGGTGGTGGTCATACCGCGATCGCCGCGCACTCGCTGGACGTAAAGCTAATCGTTGAACCCAACCTGGTCCGCGACGAACGCCCCGATGTGTTGTTGAAGCCATGCGATCTCAGCTGTTTGCAGTCCAAGCTGCGTCAAGTGACGGTAGGCAGCGCCCCCGCCAATAGTTGGGGCGAGTGTAGCCTGTGCGGGAGGCGACGTTAGTGCTGCGGGGGGCCAACCGGCGAGCTGTCCGCGCAGCTTGCCTTGCGAGATTTGGTTGCGCATCTCGCCGCAGACGTTGGTGGCCCTCTCGGTGCTTGCTGCGCAGAGAAGTTTGTCAGCGGCAAAGCGGAGGTAGCTCTCAGTGGAAGCGCGGTTGGCAGGCGCTGATCCAGCGCCGCTGGCGAGATCCGCCCATGCTCGCAGTATTTTGCAGACTGAGGAAGTAGTCTGCGGCATTGCGCGGGCCCTGGTAGAGGTGGCAGATGAAGGGAGCAAGCCATTGAGCTGCGCGGGCGAGAGGGAGGAGGATTTCGTTGGTGAGTGAGTCAATTGGTAGGAAAGGCGGGCACTCGCCGTCGAGTTCGTCTGGCAGCCAGGGCCTCGGGAATCTCGCGCACAACGGGCGTGATCCTACGACGAGGCCCGGCGCCCTTTGGCACCAAGAACCACAGAAAAGGCATCGTTCGATTTGTGTGAAACGTCTGCCGGGCTGTGGAAAGAATGCAATTTCGTCCCAGGGTCAGATCTGCCTGTAGTCGGAATCCTGTAGCGGAGGGGTGACATCCGGCGCTGGAACTGCGCAGTCGTCGACAAGCCATTTCGGTTGCTGGATGGCACTCTGAGCGTCGGTTGCGACGGCGCGCTCGAAGGCGCTGGACAAAGCGCCGTTGGCGAGGCCACCGTGGGAGCGGCGATGGCAAGCCCGGGCGCGGAGCTCGCTGTGCGGAGGGAAGTGGATGATAGCCTGCCTCCTGTCATGAATCAGTACCTGCAGCAGTTTGCCCCGCGTTGGCGCCTCTTCGCCGCTCTGTCGGGGATGCGGCTTAAGTGGGAGACTGGGAGCGGTCGTTTGAGGGGAGTGGTCAAATCGATCGCCCCCTCGGTCTCGATGAACAGCAGCATTGCTGCCGATGCCGCAGCATCTTGATGCACGGCGCATGCTGGCGTATTCTCTTTGAGCGACACATTTCTCAAGGTCAGAGATTTCGTCGTTGTCAAGGCGTGAACATTGATCGCTGTTGCTGATGTGACGCACAGTGGCAAGACGCATGGCGAGTAACTGTGTTGGGTGCGGTCTGCCGCCTCCCACGATGCGTTCAGAGTCTCCCTCGTTTAGAATCCAGGCGAGGCGAGCGAGGCCCATGCCCATGGGGATGTTGGGGCAGTGGTCGCACTGCGTCGCGGGCTGTGAGAAGCTCGCGTTGGCGACATTCAGCTAATGTGCCAGCTTGTGCCAGGATGGGGTGTCCCGCTGGGTGGCTCTTCCAGGCGAAGTGTTCCAGTAGCTCTAATCGCATCGTGGCCTCGAAGGACCGAGGGGTTTGGCCAGCGTGTTGGGACCAGCCCCCTCGTGGGAAGGGCGTATCAAGTCTTCGACGCAGGGGCCTCGTTAGCTCGCTTGGGAGAGATCCTGACGATCGAGCCCACGTGGGGCTGCGCTGCGGGGGCCACCTCTCGGGCGGTTGTGCCAGTATTGCAATGGCTGACGTACTGGCGGGAGGTCATGTTGGCAGTCGTGGGTTGCTTCAAATCTGGCGCGACGATGGAATGGGTCGGCGCGGCGGAAGAGGGGGGGGGGGGGGGGGGGGCGGGAGGGAGAGGAGCTATCAAGCTTCTTCCTGGGTCGGAGGCAGGGCGCGAGGGCCCGGCATGGCTGCTTCCATCAGCATTGCGTCCGCGTGGGCGTGGGGCGGGGCGGGTGGGGTGGGGGTGGTGGTGGGGGGGGGGGGGGGGGGCAGAGGTAGGGCGACGTGCCTGGGGGGTAGATAATGGTGGCTGCGCGGTTGGTGCTCCATCGTTTCCCATTTCCAAATCCGAGTCGCGCTCCAGATCAACTGGCATGTCAGTGGCGACCTCCTGCTCAGCGGGGGCTGGGAGTGGAAGGCACTGTAGAGAATTGAAGGCTTGCTGCATCCCGAGGAGGGCCGCGTTCGGGTCAAAGGTGGGCTGGGCTGTCGCGCGTCGTTGTCGTCATGCGTGAAGTGCCGAACTTCATTGGGGCTCAGAGTCGGGGAGGGAGTAGGAGAGGGGCAGCCAACAGGAGTTCGAGGAGAAGGCTGGTTGTCGGGCGTCTGCTTCGTCGGTTGTTCGTTGGCTGGCTGTCCTTCGGGGGGGGGGAGTCGAACAGGCATCGGGGGGCGCGCGGTCCTCCGCGGGGCGGTCGCATGCAGTATCGATGTGGGGTGGCTGAAGGGGGTGCTGACCTAGCTTTGCGCAGTCTTCATCGGTGGGGCGACTAACCGTCGCTTCCAAGGCGACATCAGTCGAGGCGGCGGGGGGGGAGACAGGGGGCGCAGCTAACCGCTGCTGCACTGGAAGATAGGGGGACAAGCGCAGTTGGCATGTTATCAGGAGAAGGAAGGCGACTAACCGTCGCAGCCTTGGGATGAACAGGAGAGGGATGGGAGGCAATCCCTTTCGGTGGGCCATCGTCTCCAGCGGCAAAGCGCGGTCTGAGGGGATCAAGTTGATCCTCGATCGGTGTACCCTCACCGATATGGTTGCAGCTGCCGCTTGCCCGGTGTTTGCCAGAGGCAGAATTTCCCTGTGTGCCGTTGTGTCCATCGACGGGATCTGATCCAACGGATACTGGTTGACCTTCATCGTGCCGATCTTGGGTCCTGCCCGATGTGTAGATCGACGATGGTACCCGCTGGCCGATTTCGTCCTGGGGGCCATCGTTTGATTGCTCATCGGACAGTGATAGAACCCCCAGGTCCTGCACTGGTCCGTCACAATCCGCCCTGGTGACAATTCCTTGGATTTCGTCTCGATCGCCGTCTGAGTTCTCTTCCATCCCGGTCGCCTTAGGGCGGCGAGATGGACAGGAGGCGCGCCGAGGCCTGGCAGCAGCCCGATATCGCGCGTGACCTGGCACGGGCGGGCACGGGGGGGCCGCGGCGGCCCTGGCGGTGCGTCGTGCGCCCCCTCGAGAGCGAGGGTTGCCCGCAGACGGCTTGAGCCAAAGCGGCTACGGACTGGTGGGGATTCGCGAAGCGTCAAGAGTTTCGCCAACTCCCGTGCAGTCTTGCAGAGAACTTTCTTCCACTTTTCGGCTCACAAATATTACCCACCCACCCTCCCTGAGTGCTCCCAACTGCGCAGCTGCCGGCAGTCTCGTATGCTCCTGGGGGGGTCAGAGAGCGCGGTCCCATCGGGATCAAAACTATCACCTCCCTCCCTAGGTGCTGCCGGCTGGTCAACTTTTACCACTCTCGTGAGCTGCTGGCGGGCCCAGCGGAGTCGGATCATATTGGAACTGCTTCTCCTCTTCTTAGCTCTTAGCTCCCTGGGCACCGACAACTGAGAAACTCGTGGGATATTCGTGAGTTTCTGGGGTCCAGCGGGGGGTCCAGCGGAGCGCGTTCTTAGCTGGATCTATAATATTACCTCCCTTCCTGTGCGCTGCCAATTTCACACCGTCGCTGTCCTCCTCTATCCTTCCCGCTAGCATGATCAATCTCCCCCTCTCCCTCCATCTCCTCCTCACTCTCTTTACCATCGCGTCTTCGCATCCCCCTCACCTGCCCAGTCGGCCCAGCGTAGAGCACGGTGACTTCCCCGCTCTCGGAGACCGACGCCACCCGTGCGTTGACCCAGCAGTTCCGCGAGACACTGAAGCACTGCACCCTTTGAAGGGAGCTCGGGGAAGATGAAGAGGAAGAGAAGGTGGGAGAGGAGAGAGATGAGATACATGAGAACGAAGGAGGAGGAAGCAGGGGGAGAAAGGACAAGGAGAAAGGATGACGAGGAGAAGCATGAGTGAATTCCTTTGCACACCGCGGCCTCCGCCGCATGCCCGCATGCCGACTTGGAGGGCCGCTCCACCACGGCCCCCATGTCCGCGGTGCCCCTGGACCCCTGGGGCGCCTGGTCCCGAGCTCTGCTCGCAGCTGTTCCCAAACCACATCCGCCAGGCCAGCCGCCTCGGCCTGCCCCTGTCCACCCAGCCAGCTGCCGGTCCCACCAGACGCAGGCAACACTCAGCCGTGCACTTTTGCACTAAGGGGCGGGCCAGACCGCGCTCCCAGGCCTGCTCCCGCGCAGACGAGGGGAAACGAGAGGGAGCGGCAGCCCAACGGCCGCTCGATGGCCTGGGCTCCTGAGCCTCTAGCTAACTCCTTTCGTCCGGGACGGGGGATGCCAGCTGTTCTGCCTCGTGAGCGTGCTGCTCCAGAACGTGGCCGACGCAATCTGACTGCTGCCCGGACGCGTGAAACAAAACGACAAAGCGCAAGGCCAGGCAACGCGCCCACGCGCGATAGGGGGGCAGGGGGCAGGGGTGCTCTGGCCCATGCTCCGCGTCGCCTCCAGCTGCAGCCGCTTATCGTTGCTACCACCGCGACCACCCCCAACGCGACGGCGCGCAGATGTTGTCCCGCTCCAGCCTTCCAAGAGGAGGAGGAGGCGGCGGAGGAGGAGAAGGGGGAAGATAAGGAGAAGGAGAAGAGGAAGATCGCAGGATCGGGGCCAACGCACGGGCCCAAAACAGTAAATGCGCGTATCGGTATGTGTGTGGTGTGGCGTGGCGTGGCGTGGTGTGGTGTGGTGTGGTGTGGTGTGGTGAGGTGTGGTGTGGTGTGGTGTGGTGTGGTTCGTGGTGTGGTGTGTGGTGCGTGGTGTGTGGTGTGTGGCGTGGTGTGGTGTGAGGTATGGTGTGGTGGGGGGCAACGAATGTGCGAGAAGCTCTACGTGCGCGAGATCGGATAATTTGTGTAGTGAACCGTGTGCGGAATCCTTCCTGTGAATGAGAAAGCAGGAGATGAGCTGTCGCACATGTAGCGTCGGCGAGCCAGGAAGGAGGAAAGCAATATTTTTGCGTCGGCGGCTAGGCAGAGTGACTGCGCTGGCGGTACCAGTAAATGAAGAGAACAACACAAACAGGAACCCCAAGCGAATCCATACGAAATCAAACGACAACCAGCACACGTGCCGTGGGCTGATCTGTTGGATCCCAGCGAAGCTCGTCGTCTGTTCAGGCCCCTTGCTCTCCCCAACAGGAGCAGCACGAATGGGCCTTCCAATGACACTCCATGGACAACTCGGAAAACTGAAAATTACTTAGCACGCTTTGGAACATCATATGGTGACTACGCACGCGCGTTGCAAGACAGCCGCCTCCTCAACATGGGCCTGCCTCCCTGGTGCTTCCCAGGGCCCCCACCTCGTTCTTCCCTTTCAAACCCCCCCTATGTCAGTAGAACTCTGAGGCCAAGCCTTACTGCGGCTTGCGCTGGCGCGCACGCGAGAGCTGGGGATCATAAAACAGGAGGTTGCCCTGAGTAGCGACATGTGGAATGCGTCTGCTGCCCAGCAGCGGATTCGGCTGAAGCGGCGATCCGCCGGCCGCAGGAGGAGGTGCAGCGATTAAGCGAGCGCTGCGCAGCCCTCGACGCCGACCTTGCCGGCGCTCCCCTGCGAGCTAATTGTACAGACGGGGCCCAACAAGCCGACGCAAGGGCCCCCACCGAGCGCGCCCTACAGCGGCCGTGAGATGTCGCCCCTTTTTACAGCGACTGCGATCGGCCGTCTGCGAGGCCAGCGCTGCGGTTGAGGGTTTACGCTGCTAGCCTGCCAGAAGCCTGGAAGCAAGAGCCGGGTCGGACGAAAGGGGAGGGGTGGGGGGGTAATAAAGGGGGGGGTCGCGACTCAGCTCACGTATGTGTCTTTCCACTGCGCCCCTCGGCGCCGGAGGTGCCAGTGTATCAAGGAAAACGCGCGGCGGCGGGGCCGAAGCCAGCCGCATGCAGCAGATGTCGAACCCCCACATGCCATGCCTCCCTTCTCGTCCAAACCGAAAGTGGGCAGGGCGTGAGCCTCTGCTCCTGGGCATCCTCGGCCGGCGGGCAGTCGGCCTTCAGGGCGGTCACCCGCCCGGCCGTCTGGAGCTCGCCGTCGGACGACGATGGGATCGGGCCCATAGTCGAGTCGCCTCGGCTGCCACGCTTACCTCAGAGGACTATTTGGCGGGTGGCCCTATGGACCGTCCCTGCGCGCGGGGGCCTTGCCATGACCGGCATCAGGCTGTGGACGGCGAGAAGGTATGCGAAGCAAGAATCATCTCTGGAGCTTCCAGCCGAAAGCCTGGGAATTTCGACTGCTGATTTTTGTTGGAGCGCCCCGCGCTTGGCCGCTGTGCCGCGCGGTCGCCGCGCGACGAGGCAGGCGTGTCGACAGCTTCCAAAAACCGAATGGGCTGCCCTCTTGCGCCACCGCAGTCGACCTCAGACAGCCCAGACGGCCTCCACGATGGCCCCAAGACGGCCCAAGAGGTCCGCAGGATGGCCCGAAGACGGCTCCAAGACGGCCCAAGATAGCCTCAAAAGTCGGCGAGGACAGCCCAAATGGACTCCACGACGGCCAAAGGTCTACAAGACGGCAACGATACGACCATGGGACCCCCAAGGTGGTCTGACATGAGCTCCAACATCGAAAGCTCTGCCCACGCAGCGCGTATTCCATTATGACCGCCCACATTTCCGCCCCAGGCAACCAGGTTACGTGCACACTTTGGACTTCAGTCAGTTTGGCTCCTATTTGCGCGTCGGCGCAAAACGTGGGAACCTCGAGACTTCGAACAGGCGCCCGGGGGACCCAGACGGTCACCGAAGGCAGGCCGGGTAAACGTAACGGCGCTGTCTGGGGAAATGGTTTCAAACAGTCCGTCGGGAGTTCCCCCGATTCACGAGGAGACAAAAAAAGCCCGTGGGGCGGAACTGTCCCCGAGGAGATCCGCGCACGCACACAGCACAGGCGGAAATGCTCACGCTCGAGCGCTGGCGACAATTCCGGTTGCAAGCCAGGTTGCGATTCCGGTTGCAATTCTGGCTGCAATTCTGTCCAGGCCCCCGGATTGCGAGAGGCCCCCCGGCCTTTCCAGTCCGGTTCGGCACTGCTGGGGGCTGGGCCCCACAGGGGGTGCCAGGGGGGAGGGACGCGTGAGAATGGTCTTGAAGCTCTCGGCGACTCGTGGGCCCGCTAGTGGTCCTCCCGTTCTGGAAAGACTGGTGGGCCCCGCCGCCGGTGACCTCACTTGGAAGTGGCTAGCCGCTGAGGCACTGGCGGGCACAGGAGGGCGAATCCGCAACGGGAGACATCCCCTCCCGCTTTGGCCCCTCCCCGAGGCTGCTCTGCCCACTCCTGTTCCCGGTCCCCTCCCGCCCTCCTTCCATACAGTAACCGAATCCCACCTGCCCTTACGGGGGTTGTTCTTCCAACCTCCTTGCTCCCCTTTTGCGGAAGGCTGTGCCCCCCCCACCCTGTCCCCCTGGGCCTGGACGCAGGGGAGAGCGGCCGATAGCAGCATCGAAACCGATGTAGTCAAGTGAGGGATCATATGGGAGCTCAGTTGAACAGGGCAAACGAAAACATAAAGAAGCAGGAGCGAGCGGAAGAGGAGCAATCCCGGGACACTCGCATCACCTCTGATGCCATACCCCCTCCCCTCCATCGTACGAATGAGGCAACCGCCAAGTACTGGCAAGAGTGGGCATCGTTCCGACGGCACGCGGGCAGCTGACCCGAACATGTCGATCACCAGACATGCCTAAGGTATCCTCCAAATTTCCATTTGGAGTTCGCAGAGATGATAATAACTATCTGCGTCACCATATTGTGTTGCTCCCTGGCCCGAGCCGCGGGCAACTCTTACCATCAACCTCGCTCAGTAAGCTCCTCCCCATCCTTCCCCGACATCCTCCTCATTGGGCCTCCCAAGAGCTTCCCAAGAGTAATGTGGGACCTGGCCCAGCCGGATGTTGCCAGCCCCGGGTGCCAGACCCTTGCCTGTCTGGTGGGCAAGCCCTGTGCCTTGCCCTGATCAGGGTAGAGGGATGAGGACACCAGGCTACTGACCACGCCACGACAGGTCCTGCCACACGCTTCACGGCCCTGCTTTGGCATGGCTTTCCTTACCTGACCCAAGGTGCCTAGACACTGTAAGCCCGTCTTCAAGAGGCCCCTGCAAAACATCAAAGTGTGGCGTTTCTGCTGCCGCTGTGCCAGGGACGCCGCTGCTGGCATGGCCCAGGCAGGCTCAAGCGCTGGCCTCTCGAAGGGAAGGTAGCTCTGCTTCCTGAGGGCCGCGGCGAGCGTCGCCTGTGGCGTCGGCATCCCCTCTGCCCCATAACAGGGCGGAGCGAGGGACATCGATCTCAGAAGGCAGGGCGAATCCCAGCGGGCAGAGCTAAGCAGCCCGAGAGCAAGACCCAGAGCAAGCACCATCTCCCAGTCGAGAATCAATGTGTTAGAGCTCCGAACGAAGACTTGCCATACAGCAGCAGAGTGCTGCTGTATAGTAGGCAGGACAGTTATGTTTCATATATGGAAGCTGTGTCCTGGAGCTCCAACTGTCACTTGGACAATCGGTTTGGTGACAGTGGGTGGTAGAAATTGCGAGCGAGAGAAACTGAAAGAAAAGAGTTCAAGAGAGAGGGCCAGCAAACTACGAGAATGCGCTGCTGAGGGTCCATGTGTATATATATATATATATATATATATATATATATATATATATATATATGTAATGTGCGTATGAATCCCACTTGCTTCGACCCCCCACCTCTGGGACTTGTGTTCTTGGGGCCGAACACCCGACAGCTCCCTGCCCTGAACCGACTTCGACCCCCCACCTGGCTCGACCCCCCTCCCCCACCGTTGTGGGACTCTTGTTCTTAGGATACCCCCCCCCTCTATTCATGGCCTGGAACCGACCACGACCCTCCACCTGGTTCTAGCCACCGTCCTGGGACTTTTGCTGTTGGGATCCCCCACCCGACAATGTCTGGCCAGGAACCGACCCCGACCCCCCACCTGGCTCGAGGCCCTCCCCCACCCACCGTCCTGGGACTTTTGTTCTTGGGGCCCCTCACCCCGCAACTCCTGGCTGGGAATCGACTCTGACCCCCACGCCCACCGTCCGGGCAGCAAAACCCAAAAGGAAATCAACAATTGTGGCCTCTGGAGGCGCTCGTCTGAGGCATCCGGCGCCCACTGAAGCCTGCCCGGGGCCGTCCTGGCGACTTCTTGGGGCCTCCTGGGAGCACCTGGAGCGAAGAATTCGAAATGTCGGTGCGTGTTCTCCCTCTTGTGCTCATCTTGGGGCGGCCCGTAAGTTTCTTGTTGGGCGCCCCAAGGCCATCATGGAACCCTGTTAGGCCGTCCCGGCGCCATCCAGGAGGCCCCTTGGCATGTCCTGAAGCGGTGCCGGAAGCCTTCTGGGCCGTCTTGGAGCGCTGGAAACTCGAAAAGTGGAGGACCCCAAAACGTTCAAAATCCAGAGGAAACCAAACCTGTTCGCCTCTCGAGGCACTCGCCTGGGTCCTCGGGCGCCCATCCTGGCGCCTTTTTAGGGCCTCCTGGGAGCGTGGGCCGAAGGACTCGAAACTTCCGTTCATGTTCTCTCTATTGAACCCATCTCGGGGCCGTCTTGCACCTGGGGCCGTCATGGAGCCTTGTCAAGCTGTTCAGGGAACCTCCTGGGGGCCTATTGGCCAGTGTTGAAGCGGTCTTGTGGTCCTCTTGGGCCGTCTGCGATTGTCTGAAGATCGATTGTCTGCGATTGTCTGAACGGTTTTGGCCTCCCCGGGCACTCGTCTGGGGCCTCGGGTGCCCACTGAAGCCTGTCCGACACCGCCTGGGCGCAGCCTGGACCCCTTCGGAAGCCGTTCACAAGGCATCTTCGGCGCTGTCGAGGTGTGATGGACCAATCTGGAAAAAAAACTCGTATCCATGTTGGGGCTGTCTGCGCTCCTACGGAGACACCGTGGAGGCCACGAGGGCACACGTGGGGCCCCCGGAGCCCTCATGCCAACCTGGGGCCGCGCCTGGCCTACTCCAATATACAGATACGTGTATGTGTGTATGAATGTATGGAGGCATGTTGGTATGTATGTACGTACGCATGTCTGTATATGTGAACGCATGCATGTATGTCACATGTATAGTTGTATATGGATATATGGTCATGCATGCATGTATGCATGTATGTATATACGGATGGACGAATGAGTGCATGTATGTAGATATGAACGTATGGATTGTGATGTATGCATGCATGCATGCGTGCATGTACGCATGGATGCGTGTGTATGCACGTAAGTGTGTATGGATGCAGTTGTGCATGCATGCATACATGCATGCATGTGTATATGAATGTATGTATGTCACGTGAGTTCCACATAATCTCCGTCAAAGTATTGGTAACACTGCTGCGTGACCGTATATACCTCGTATATGACTGAGAAGGTGCGTGTGTGAATATGTACGTGTGCCATTGTGTCTTTCTGCTGTCCATACAAACAAATGAACCCCTCACTGCATATCCCCAACTGCCATGCGATCCAAAAGAGTCGCCATGCAAACTGGGTACACCCCACGAGCCGAACTGCGATACGCAAACTCATGAGGTGAACCGTGGCCTGAGAAAGAGCGCGAGTGTGATAAGTAACGAATAGCTTACGCGGCTGCGTGCAACTGCATGTACCATAATCTCCTGTGAATCATTCCCACCTATGGCTCAAGGTTGGTCGGCGCTCTGGGGGCGAGCTACTCACCCACGTGCTCCTCTGCCCTGTTCGTGCTACTGGTGCCCATCCTCCTCGAACTCCAATGTCATCGACATCTCAAACTATTCCTGTGCATTTTCGGCGACCTGTGCTCCAGCAGCAAGCAGGACCTTGCGGGCCCACAGTGTACGCTCCATGCATGACAATTTCTCCAGAAGCTTCACTGGCGGTGGCCGCCAGCCCAAACCAACTCTTCCTCCTCCTTCTCCTCCTCCTCCTCCTCCTCCGTAGCCATTTTGGGCTCAAGCCGTTTTGCCCGCGGAGGGCGCGGGAGCCCGCCATTTGGGAGCCCCCAGCCCCAGGCGCTGCCAGGCGCGACGCGGCTGCGGCAGGCCTGGGCCCGCTGCGCCGCCGCCTTGCCTTCGGCCTGCCCACGGAGGGTGCAGGCCATCTGCTGTCGCGTGACCGAGCTCGCCTGAGCACAAGGTCGCGCTCGCCAGCTTGGCATCGAAGGCTTCGCAAGCATCGTGCTTCTGCTCGCCTTCGGCTTCGACTTTCCCGTGACGTAGTGAGGCTACGAGAGCATCACGGGTCCCGCCTGCCCATTGGCAGAGGCGGACGCAGTCGGGGCGCCACTGATGAACGTGCTGCTGGTCGTGGTCGTGGCGATCGCGGCGATCGCTGGGATTGCCTGGCCACCAGGCAGTGCGGTTTTAGCAAGAACTACGGCACCAACGAGAGGTGCTACATGTGCGGACGAGACCGAATGGGCCGCCCAGACCCCAAAGGTGCCCAGCCTCCTGGCATGCGGGCGCGTAGCTCGTCTGCCGCCAGGAAAGGCAGACGAGGTGGCCAAGGCCCGCCGCGCGCTCGGTACCCTGCGTCGTTTGCAGATTGCGGAGGACAGCGACATCATGGCCTCGGCCAAGCGCCAGCTCGCAGCGGCAGAGGAGCCCGAGGGAGCTGGGCGCGCTCCTGACGATCTGCTGCGAAGGGCCTTGGATAGGCAGTCGACGAAGCAGGAGGTCGAGGTTCTGGATGCGGCTGTCAAGGAGCTGGAGGATTCTCTTCTGGCCAAGCGCGCTGAGGCCGAGACAGCCCACACCGACCTTCAGGCCATACAGCTCGAGGTCGCAACGGCGCGTGCTGCTGTGCTCGCCAATGGCTCCTCTGGCGTGGTTGCGCCCACCAGCGAGGACGTTGATCAAGCCATGGGCCGCCTTCAGGGCATTGTGGCAGCAGCTCCTGCAGCTGTTACAGCAGGCAATGCGGGCACGATGCTCCAGAGCCTCACCACGCACCTCGCCGAGCTGCAGAAGGCCTTCGAGATGCATCGCCAGGCCCAGTCAGGAGGCAGGCCGCAGCAGCCGCAGCAGCAGCAGCCACAGCAGCCCGCGCAGATGTGCGAGGACCCCTCGCCATGGACTGGGTCCTCTATTGCAGAGCATGCTCACCCTTGGGACGCCGAGATTGATACGAACTTGAGCGGCCAGCACCAGCCACGCCTCATGGCATGGGCTCGGGGCCGACTCGCGGCGACGGCGGATAGTGAGCTCCGCGGCATCATGACGTTCAGGCAGGTTGACCACGGCAGTTTTGAGGCTCGCCTCGTCGCTGAAGGCCAACCTGCTGCTCTCAATCAAGATACTGGTACAATTTTGAACGGAAACCTGGCTGATGGCGACTCAGAGGGTGGAAGTTTCGTTACCGGTAACACGACATACGTTGTTCCTTGGTCCTGGGTGTGTTGGGTCGCACGTTGGCTCGGGGTGCTCGAACCGCTCAGGGCTGTCGACGGACAGGCCAGCTCGCTGCATGCAGGAGAGATCGCGTGGTGGTCGGACCCCCCTGAGGGCTTCAGGCATACATGGGGCCCCCGACGGGGGGGTGGTCGATTTCCCCATGTGTGCTGAGCATGTCGTGCCAGGCTGCGGCAGCTTGCATACCGAGTACGCAGCGGGCCACGGTGGCACCTTGCCTTTGCACATGACCCACGGCGCTTCAGTCAGTGCTGGAATTGTCTCAAGTAGGTTCCCTGCTGATGCCACTGACTACGATTGGTGGGACTACCGTTACTGGTGGGGTCTCGAATCCTGGAGAGGAATCCTGGGTCACTGGTTTGCTGATGTCCTTACGTGGGAGTATCAGATGACCATGGACGACTGTCTGTTTTGGTGCATTCCGTACGTGGAGCCTTGCATTTCCGAGCACGACGTCTTGCGCGCCATGGCCCCCGCGCCACCTCGGCGACATGACCTGGCGGAGCAACTCTGCCCGGGTGCTTGGACGCAGCGCGCGCCCCAGCTTTTTCCGCCACTTGGAGAGGCTTCATGATATGCACTTACGTGACCGACGACGTTGGTATGACTTGATGATGGAGCCCCTTCGAGATCTACGAGGTGCCAGGCTTCTCTTGGCTAACGAGATGGCTGCCCAACCGTTTGCCGACGTTCTGGTCTCTGAGGCCACGACGCATCGATCGACATGGCAGCTCGTGATATTCCGGATGATGGGCCACCTCCACCCACACCGCAGGATGGGAATCTCGGTGCTCAGGATGTGGATATGGCCGATTCGCCTGAGGGCAGTGCG